TTATCTAGAAAATTGCCTTTTCTCACCAACCCCGCAACTGACAAAAGTCTGATCTCCAAAATATATAAAGAAATCAAGAAACTAGACCGTAAAAGGCTAATCAACCCAATTATAAAATGGGGCAGTGAGCTGAACAGAGAATTCTCAACAGAAGAACTTCAAATGGCCAAAAGACACTTAAGGTCATGCTCAACTTCCTTAGCGATCAGGGAAATGCAAATCAAGACAACTTTAAGATACCATCTTACACCTGTCAGAATGGCTAAAATAAAAAACACCAATGACAGCCTTTGTTGGAGAGGTTGTGGAGAAAGGGGTACACTCACCCATTGCTGGTGGGAATGCAAACTTGTGCAACCACTCTGGAAAGCAGTGTTTCGGTTTATCAGGAAATTCGGGATCAACCTACCCCTGGATCCAGCAATACCACTCTTGGGAATATACCCAAGAGATGCCCGATCATATGACAAAAGCATTTGTTCAACTATGTTTATAGCAGTATTATTTGTAATAGCCAGAACCTGGAAACAACCTAGATGCCCTTCAACGGAAGAATGGATGAAGAAAGTGTGGAATGTATACACATTAGAGTACTACGCTGCGGTAAAAAACAAGGACTTCTTGAATTTTGCATACAAATGGATGGAAATAGAAAACACTATCCTGAGTGAGGTAAGCCAGACCCAAAAAGAGGAACATGGGATGTACTCACCCATATTTGGTTTCTAGCCATAAATAAAGGACATTGAGCTTATAATTCATGTTCCTAGAGAAGCTAAATAAGAAGGTGAATCCAAAGACAAACACATAGGCATCCTCATGAATATTAACCTTCATCAGGCGATGAAAGGAGACAGAGACAGAGACCCACATGGGAGCACGGGACAGAAATCTCAAGGTCCAAATCAGGAGCAGAAGGAGACGGAGCATGAGCAAGGAACTCAGGACCACGAGGGGTGCACCCACACACTGAGACGATGGGGATGTTCTATCGGGAACTCACCAAGGCCAGCTGGCCTAGGTCTGAAAAAGCATGGGATAAATCTGGACTAGCTGAACATAGCGGACAATGAGGAATACTGAGAACTCAAGAACAATGGCAGTGGGTTTTTGATCCTACTGCACGTACTGGCTTTAGGGGAGCCTAGGCAGTTTGGATGCTCACCTTACTAGACCTGGATAGAGGTGGGCGGTCCTTGGGCTTCCCACAGGTCAGGGAACCCTGATTGCTCTTTGAGCAGATGAGGGAGGGGGACTTGATTGGGGGGGGGGGGGAAATGGGAAGCGGTTGCGGGGAGGAGGCAGAAATCCTTAATAAAGAAAGAAAGAAAGAAAGAAAGAAAGAAAGAAAGAAAGAAAGAAAATTGCCTTTTCAGGTGTTATTTACCAAATAATAATAATAATCAGAGTCCATTTAAATATAAGCATTTCCCTAAATGTGCTGTAGGTCTGATATAAAGGGCATTTAATAAACTGGCATTAGATGACTTCTCATATGTATTTTGAGGAATCTTTGGTGTTCACACAATCCAATTTTAAATAGCAATCACTACAATCAGATAGAAATAACTGAAAAGAAGAGCATGCAGGTTGAAAGGAAGGCTGCTGCATGATGCCCACAATCTGTACAGAGAGTGCTCAAAGAGCAGAAGTGAGAACACCAACGGGATTCTTGCACAAGAGCAGCAAGAAAAGATCAGCAGGGTGCAGCATAGAAATGAAAGGTTCGAAACACGGTAGACACTCGCTATCTGGAAGTAAAGAGAAAGGCTAGTTTCAGCATGAGATAGTCTCTCTCTAGCTGACCATGTAAATCCCTCTGTATTACACCCCTGGCTTACAATTCACAGGTAGTCCTTTACCCAAGGGATTCCAAGGGAGTTCCTTTGCATTGCAACCACTAGCCACATGTCCATCCTCGCTCCCTTCCTATTCTGTGTTAGGGTCCCTATGCCACACTCCCCAGGAGGGCTTATTTGGTCCTCCACTGTTATATGCAACTGTAGATGTTATTTTCCTGAGCAGCAACCTGTATTAACTATACTCTATCGCTTTAGTAAACCAAAAGATAATTGAAGAAAATCATTTCCTAGTTTTTCTGTATACCTAGCACCTACCGTAAAGCCTAAAAGCTTGTTAAGTATTCAGTGTTTCTTTACTCCACAAATAGATATCATTCAATGACATGGCACAAATTGATGACTAGAATATGAAAGTACATTTTTATGTCTTAGGTAACGTCAATATATTCCAAGATATTCCGATTTAACAAAAATGTAGTAAAAGATATAGATATTTAGGACACATAATTTAAATTACTTGAAAATCTGGTGGTTTCAAAGTTTGTCATCTACAAAAAAAGAACTTCAATGACCACTTTTTTCTATAAATGTGTCAAAATTTAAATTAATAAAATATCTGTATCAATCATAGATGGAAAAGCAAATTGCTTTTTAAAGGCTCTAATTCTTTAAAAAGATATGCAGGAATTAACCAGGGGATGGCTCAGGAGGTAAAAAGTGCTTGCTGAAAAGTTGACAAAATTGAGTTTGATTCCCAGGTCCCATATGGTATAAAGAGAGAGTGAGTGTCTGAAGGCTGTCCACTGACTGCCACGTGCATATGCCAGCCCATGCACACACACGCATAAATGCACAACAATAAAATAAAAATACTAAATATGTAGAATGACTACTTAATTTTTTTTAAAGAAACATGGTTTCTGGAGTAGAAACAAGTCTCTTTACAGTCAGTTCTTGGTTTTGTCTTTCAGTTGATGTCTCCACAGAAAACAGTATTTTTTTTTTTGTTTCTTAGAAGATCATCTGCTTCTCAAATGAGACATATTTATCTTCTCCAGAATAATTTCTCCTAATTGTGACATAACTAATTTTGGTATTCCAAATCACAAATGTATAGCAAAGGCAACTGAACCACAAAAACAAAGAATTTATTTCCCTGACTCCCACAAAAACAAAAGTAATACAGAAAATATGATCTTATATTTGAATAAACAAAACATAATTTCTAAAATTTCATTTCTTTCACAAAAACAGAATTTTAAACTTTAGCCTCTATAACAGAGAAAATTACATGTTTGGCTAGACAACAATACTTGGAAATGTACTATATTTTAAGTATTAGCACTTATTTATAATTACTAGGTCTTTTGAAATGCTAATTGAACTCCTAGTTTAAAAAACTAATACTGTATGGCAACATGCTAATAAATACATAATTTATTCTAATTTCTAATTTCTTCTGATTACCGTTTCCTGTCGGGCCATCATTCATATAATTGAAGATAAGAAGGTAGGCTTTGTGGTCTAGCAACCCTAATTAGAATCCCGGTCCTCCCGGGAAGTGCAGAGGAGTAATATGACCAAAATATATTATTTACATAGATGACACTCTCGAAGAATAAATACGTTTATGACACTCTCGAGGAATAAATACGTTTTTTGTTTTTTAAAAAACCCTGAATTATTTACCCCACAATACCCCCACAGCGATCCTCCTGGGAAGTACAGAGGAGTAATATGAACAAAATATATTATTTACATAGATGACACTCTCAAAGAATAAAGACGTTTTTTGTTTTTTAAAGAACCCTGAATTACTGTTTGCCCCACAATACCCCCCCAGCTGGGTTCAGATTACTAAAATAAAAAATGAGTTTCACTACATTTCGCATGGTATTCAAATGTCACAGGGACAGAGTGATGATTAATAACAGAAATCCTACTCATCAAAGAAAGAGTCCTTCATCTTTAACATCAGCTACACTGTTTTTCCTGCACTCTAAGGGGGTGGGGCCATTGATACAGCTCCCACCTCTTCTGACTACTCCGTGTACTCCTTCCTCTTCCTCTGTGTTGGGTTCCTCCTTCTTAGTACTCATGTATCTGAGCAAACATCCCTTGTGTAGCCATCAATCTGTGAAAGATTTTGTTACCCAAATGTATCTGCAGTAACTCCACCTCACATGCTCCTCTGTAATGGGTGGTATAATCTATATATGTACTGTTTGAGTCTGTGAGTGTTTACAACAGCTTCAATGAATAAACATATGACAAAAGTGATGTGGATCCTTTGAAAATAGGGCAAAAAATGAGATGACACACAAATGATCTTAGGAGCATTTTCCTTAACAGCCAAAATTTGTACAATGTGGGTGAAACTCAAAGACAATTTGCTAAGGGAAGAGCAAGACATAGAAGGCGTCATATCATGTAATTTTATTTACATGAAATGTTGAAAAAGTTACAAGGAGAACCTAGAGAGAAAGGATGAGAAACTAATGAGAAACTAATACACACACACACACACACACACACACACACACACACACTTTCTGTCCTATAGAAGGAGTTCCTTGAGAGCAGTCATTTTCTATCTTTCTCCTACACTGGCACATCACACACACACACAAAATCCTCAAAACAGAGCAGAAACACAATAGATTCTTAAATAAACTATTGATCACCTCATGGATTGGGAGCCTCCTCCTCCTCCTTTCTTGTGAGCCACAAAATATAAGTGATTTTTTTCATTTTCCAAAAAAAAACCCCAATTTCCAGTAGTTAAGCATGAACACCAACAAGTACTATAATCACTGCTGCTTCATAAATTCCAAGATTGTTTAAAAAACTATAAAATGCTTATTGAATTATTCAATTATTCTATTTTCATAAGCAAAGTAAAATATAAAGAAATAAGACAAAATAAAATATATAGGCAAGAAAAAATGATTTAATCTACTTTACTAAAACCATTACAAACTTTAACATATTAAAAACTTTATTACAAACCACAAAACTTAATTTCCACATCTGTAGCCTGAAAATACTTCATTAAATGAGTTAAAGGCAAAATAAATTCTGAATAAAATCTTGTTTTTTTTTTTTTTTAAAGTAGGGAGTACTGCAATTTGAAAAAAAAAATGTTTCCTCTTGAGAAACACTAGTGCTATTGTTCCTTTAAATAGAATTTAGGCCTACCTCTGGTGCCAGATATTCTGGGGTACCACAGAATGTCTTCATGGTGGCTGCATCTGTGATTCCTTCTTTGCAAAGTCCAAAATCTGTAATTTTTATATGGCCATCTTTATCCAGCATCAAATTCTCCAACTGTGTAAAAACAGCATAAATCATTCTGTAAGTTTCAACATGAGAACAGTTTTAGAAAATGATTAATAAAGTACTAGAAAGAGACACGGGTATATTTAATGGAGTTGTCAGGCCTTGCAAGTCCTATAACTTCACATGTAAAATGAAGGATCTTTTATCAAACATTTGTTGTGAAAAAATTACTGACTTTAACATCAGTGGAAAAAGGAGCATAGCCTTAAGAACCATTTCTGATTAAGTTCTATTGATAAAAGACATCAGAATACATCTCAGTAAGCAACATCAATACTTTGTACTGTAAAGTATTTACACAAACCAAGTTTCATATCATTTACTGTCAGTTTCAATATTCCCTTGACAGTTAGCATACTGTTTTATGCTTACAGAAACATTCTTTTGATAGATTGAGTTTTCTAAGAGAATTCCTTTTGTAGTTCTTATTTAAAAAATCCCAACTCTTTTAAACATAAAAAGAAAAAGAATATCAAAGTGAAACATGCTATAAAGCTGGAGTCTCTGAACTCAACTTTAATTGATAGGTAACAAAGAGAATTGTAAAGATTTAACCTTTCACAAAAATCATACATCTCAAGTTAATGAGATGCTCAGGGAACAAGAAATTTTGGCAAAGCCAACACAATTAAGAATACCAGTGTAGTTGACCCTCCTACTCAAACATCAGCTATAGTATCATCACATGGAGATCTGTGTGGATTGAGATATGATCATACAGCTGCATACAGAATACAAAGTGTGAAAAGCACCTTAACAAGGTGCAGAATACTTAACTTTTATTTAAGGAGTAGATAACCTTAATATGGCATTCAAAGTATTTTTCAGAACTCTGAAGTTAATGTGAAACAGAGAATGCCACATATTAACATAGGTAGGTTAGATACAAGTTATACAAATATGTACACAACATCTGCAATATGGTCATGCTTTATATAATCAAAAATGTAAGTGAGCAAGTTATGTTCAAAGCAGAAACCACAGCAGACATATCTTTTTATATAGCACTTCAACAGATTACTTGATTGAACTGAATGTGCAATACATTCCAAACAAAATGTACTTCTGAACAGTAACTGTTTCTTCAGCTTACTTACAGAGCGATAAAAAGAACTTTAACTATACTATTAAACTATTTTCCAAAAATTAAGCTATTTTATCCAAATTCAGATACATTTGCTTGCATCCTTCTTTTATTTTTCTACCAACCTACAACCTAGAAATAAAGCCCAATTTGCATAAGTAGTATTAAGTCCTGAGTATTAACTCCAACCAAGAACTCTCAAGAGTGTCTCTTCTTATCTTTTTCTCTGCTGTTGTTGGTCTTTCTTTTCTCTGTGCCCTTTTCTAAACACATCCCTTATTCAGCTCCTCTAACTTGCCACAGTTAAAACGACGCACATGCTGAAGCTCAGTTGCCTTGCTGAATACAACCTACATTCCCTGTTCTTAATTATTTTAAAATGTGTTTTCTCTTCTCTTCTCTTCTCTCCCCTTCCTTTCCCTTCCCCTCCCCCCCCTCTATCTCTCAAGATTTCTGCCTCCTCCCCGCCACTGCCTCCCATTTCCCTCGCCCTCCCCGATCAAGTCCCCCTCCCTAGTCAGCCCTAAGAGCAATCAGTGTTCCCTGCCCACAAGGACCACCCACCTCCATCCAGGTCTAGTAAGGTGAGCATCCAAACTGCCTAGGCTCCTACAAAGCCAGTACGTGCAGTAGGATCAAACACCCATTGCCATTGTTCTTGAGTTATCAGTAGTCCTCATTGTCCGCTATGTTCAGCTAGTCCGGTTTTATCCCATGCTTTTCAGACCCAGGCCAGCTGGCCTTGGTGAGTTCCCAATAGAACATCCCCATTATCTCAGTGTGTGGGTGCACCTCTCGCGGTCCTGGGTTTCTTGCTCGTGCTCTCTCTCCTTCTGCTCCTGATTTGGACCTTGAAAACACTATCCTGAGTGAGGTAAGCCAGACCCAAAAAGAGGAACATAGGATGTACTCACTCATATTTGGTTTCTAGCCATAAAAAAAGGACATTGAGCCTATAATTCGTGATCCTAGAGAAGCTAAATAAGAAGGTGATCCCAAAGAAAAACATATAGGCATGTGTATATCCTCCTGAATATTAACCTTCATCAGGCGATGAAAGGAGACAGAGAGAGAGACCCACATTGGAGCACCGGACAGAAATAAAATGTGTTTTCTATGAATATTCATACTAGTCCTTATTTAACTAATGTGTTAAAGAATTTAAAATTCTATAGTATTTCTAAAAATAGTAATAATTCTTATAAACATAATGTATAGTTTTTGTAGAAGATCAAATAATAAATACCAATTAGAAAAAAGTGAATAAACCTTATATCCTACTGCACACACACTATAATCTAGTTTGTATGCATTACACCAATCCTGCTCATATGATTTATATGCATCAGAAAGTATTCTTTTAATGATTTACTTATTCTTATTTTATGTGCACTGATGTTTTGCTTCCATGTATGTATGTATAAAGATGTCAGACCCCTGGAATTGGAATTGAGCTGCCATGTGGGTTCTGGGAATTGAACCCAGGTCCTCTAGAAGAGCAGCTAATGCTCTTAACCACTGAGCCATCTTGTCAGCCCCCAGAAATTTTGCTGCATGTGAAAAAACCTATTCTGAATGATTAGTGTTAAACAAAAGAAAAAAGAATCCAAAATAAATAAACTTGTCTTTTTTCCCAAAATTTGGGTAAAATTTATTTTTATAAAATCCTGAACTGCACCAAGATTTGTGGATTCATCTCTCAGCTAAAGAAAGAAATTAAGTCAATGACAAGTGATTGACAAGTACAGAACTATGGTGACCACTGTTTTCATTGACAAGTGATTGACAAGTACAGAACTATGGTGACCACTGTTCCCAGTTGACAAGTGATTGACAAGTACAGAACAATGGTGACCACTGTTCCCAGTTGTCCCAGAAGTTGGTTCTCAGAACATGGAACTTTAAAATGCTCTAACTGGAAATTTTTGAGTAAATCAAGGCAGTTGGCTATCATTCCTTTTATATTACTGCATTAGCTTCTCTTCAAAAAGTATTACAAAGATATACTAAGAAATGAGAAATGGGAAGGAGTCAGAGTAAAGGTCACGGGAACACAATAAATGGTGGGGGGAGACAGCAAAATGATTATTAGGGTATTGAGTGAAGTCTGGTGGTTTGCATTAAATTAGTGCTCTGCCCCTTTTCACTGATAATCTCTGACTCATTAATTTTTACATACCTAACTTTCATTTGCACACAATACTCAATTACAGTACCTATTTGAAATGAGGGTTTTAAGCATACAATGAGATAAATAAAAAAAAGAGTTAAAACTGTACGAATGTGACAATCATTTCTTAATGATGGAGAACTTAATGTCTATTCTGTTGTGAAACAGTTTTTGTAAAAGATCAAATAATAAATACTCATTAGAAAAAAAGAATAAATCTTTTATCCTACTATGCACCCATTACAATCTAGTTTGTATATATTACACCAATCTGCCTCAAAGGTGTGTTACATTTGTTTATGCTGCATTTGTTTAATTACATAAAGATGTGTTGCATCTGTTGACCTTGCCTGATTGGTCAACAAAGAGCTTACACCTGATTAGTCTAATAAAGAGCCGAATGGCCAATAGCTAGGCAGAAAAGGGAAAGGCAAAGCTGGCAGGCAAAGAGAATAAACAGGAGAAATCTAGGCTCAGGAGAAAAGAGAGAAATAGAAGGAGAAAATGAAATAGACACCCACCTGGGGCCAGAAGTCACTCAGCTGCTAGTCAACCAGACATGAGAAAACAAGATATACAGAAAGAAGGTTAAAAAAAAAAACCGAAACAAAAGATAGATAAAGTGAAACAGATTATTTTAAGTTAAAAGAGCTAGCTAAAAATAAGAAAAAAAAAAAAGAAAAAAAAAGGACTAAGCTGGGCAGAGTATTCAAAATGAGTCATGATTTGGGAGCTGGTTGGTGGTCCAAAAGACTGGTATACTTTTCTTAAAACAACAAAACAAACAGAAAAAAACAATGCTTTTGTTTGTTTGGGGTAAAAGTCTAGCTGTGTAGCCCAGAATGTCCTGGAATTCATGATGCAAATCCATGTGGCTTTGAGGGCAATGCTCCTGCCTCTGCTGCACAGTGCATACCTCAATGCTGGGCCATTCAGAGGATGATTTTTAAGTTATCAAAATGTCCTGAGAACTACTGAACAATACTTTAATAAAAAAGCAAAGTTCAAGGATGAAAACCTAAAAAAATATTTCTACAGTTTAGTAAATTTGTTAAAGTACTTTCATTAGTTTTTAAATAAAATAAAATATAAACATCTATTTCCTAGTTATTTTACATGTCTACTTTCATTCACCAATTACTTGTTTTTCATCATTATCATATTTTATCATTCCTAAAATATCACATTATGAATGACAAAAAAATCACTTATCACCAAAGAATAAACAGAAGTAATCACCTTAGAAAATACCCCATATTTTTTTTAAAAAATAAAGTCTAATCTTGTATCAAGATAAATTAGGAAGTAATATACAATCATTATATACTCAGTATTTTGCACATGATTTACTAATGTTCTTATACAATATATAAAAAAATCATAAGTGAGGTGATTCATGAGCTTACAGGATCCACAAATTCACCTAAACATCTAAGATTCGCTGCCTCAGAACTCTTAATGTCAATAATTTGCATATTAGATTAGTTAAAATCCAGTTCTACTGTGTAAATAAGAAACTAAACATTTGAAAATGCTCTCTCTTTGATTTTCTCTTCTAAATATCATGGTTTTCCTTTCTTCCTAATAAATGCAAAATTCATTATTGGTTATTGTTCAAGCACTCTCAATTTTTAAAATTTAAGACATCTGTTTTACTTCCACAATAAGCTTCCCAGATTAAGGATACTATAGTAGCTTACCATTAATAGATGCACAGCTAGCAAAAGCAGGAAT